CTCTCTCTCTCTCTCTCTCTCTCTCTCTCTCTCTCTCTCTCTCTCTCTCTCTCTCTCTCTCTCTCTCTCTAACGTTAGCAAGATTCACTTGAGAGGAATAGAAGAAGGCAGGAATTATACATTAACCATGTCGCTTTCTCAGGCTCAGAATAAAGCGTGCCGCGAAGGGGACGGATAAATTTGCATATTTAAATTACGACTTGAATAATTAGAATTTAAATAATCGACGTTAAATAGTCAATCAAGAATTTAATGATTGAACCGAGGCACCGCGCGATGCGGTCTTGAGCAAGCATGAAGCCCGAAGATTGAAAAAGTCGCGGTCGAGGAGAGAGAACCATATTGGTAAATCGTCCGCAGGATGCTCCACGGTTTATTAATCAGTGAAATTAAGAACGTGCACTGAGAAAACGGATACGTGGAACCAGTTTGAGAAAAAGAACGACAGAAAGGAAAGGAGAAAGAGAAAGAGAGAGGGAGCACGCAGACAAGAGGGTGCAAGGCGCAAGATAGCTGCGGAATGTGAACATCAGACGAAATTATCGCTGTGCAGCAGCAGTGCGTACCGAAACTCAAGCCTGAGAGAGAGAGAGAGAGAGAGAGAGAGAGAGAGAGGGAGAGAGACAGAGAGAAAGAGAGCGAGTTTAGCTTGCATAATCAAAACCATACTGATGTAATCTCAGGCGCCTCTTTGTGCGAACAATAAATAGGTTTATAAGCGTCTGTCTTGTCAACCGCGTATAAATTAACCTTGCCGAGTAATCTATATCTGTTACTCTCGATACCTGCTACTATCTGTCCATCCCTTTTACTGAAAGATAACCGGTTTTGCGGACCGCCGATTTCGCGGAAAATTTCGCGGACAAAACACCGTCTCACTTTCCCTGTTGCGCGAAGAAAAACGCACTATCCGAGAACGGCACAACAGCCTAGTTTGGCCGTGAGAAACGATTCACGTCCTCATCCTGCCGAGTCCTCTTCTCTTTCTCCTTGGTCTATCGAGCTCTTCGTCGTAGACCAACACGAGCACTAGGTCCACGAAGGCGAAGGACGAAGATCCTCCCAGCGTCGCTCACCGCGTCGTGTTTTTGCAATCGCGGTTGTAATAACAACCGAGCGAGAGAATCGCGGAGGTAACGAGAGAAAGGCAGAGAGTTGCCTCGAAGGAGAAGAACGAGAAGAACAGCCGCGGAGACGCGTCCAGGCATTTAAACGCGCTCGATCTTGATCCTTTTTAGCGCCACGTGGACTATCAGCCGCGTTTTTTCTCGTCGCGTTCCTTCGCCTACGGCAGATTTTCTTGGTTTTCGTCGCGACGAATATTTTATGTCACGACTAATATTGTGAGATCTCGACACTGTGGTTGTGGCTACAGCAATAAAATGGACATTGCAAAATTGAGGGAGAATAATAAAAAAAAAGAGAGAGCCAGAAAAAGACAGACAGCAACAGAGAGAGGCAAAAAGAGATAGAGATAGACAGAGAATGGCTGAGGGAGGCAGAGAGAGAGAGAGAGAGAGAGAGACAAAGATAGACAGGGAGAAGAAGAACGAGACAGACAGTCAGAGAAGTATAGAGAGTGGTAGAAAGAGGTAGAAAGAGGCAGAGACAGACAGAGAATAAATGAAGGAGACAGACAGATATAGAGAGACACAGAGAAAAGCAGACAAAGGTAGAGAAACGCATAAACAGACAAAGAGGGATTGAGGGAGATAAACAGAGACAGAGAGAGAAATCGAAAGGAGCGATCCTGTTTGAACAAAAACGTTCTCATACAATGTCGCAATTTACACTTTTACTAATATCATATCTTTCGCCGCGTTATTAGCACACTGAGAAAGTAGATTTAGTATTAAAACTATAATCACGTAAAAAGATAATTATTATAAGTTATGGTAAAGAGAAAACCATTGTTTTATTAAATTCTACGTTAATGTTAGTGGTAATAATCTTATTACTGCTACCATTTTCGTGTTAAAACAATTGAGGCCAAAAATAATGATAATTCCAACTGGATCAACAATTTTTTCCATTTGGTTCATGGAGATAAAATAGCAGCAGATTCTAATAATAGCGTGACGGTAATAGACGATAACAAGTAGCAGCGATAACGGCAGCGGTGGAAGTTACAATAAGCGTTACGTGGCGTGGAAAAATTATACCGTTCATTCTCTTTTTTTTTATAGAGTCCCGGGATAGAGAGATCCCGCTCTTCCTCTTCCGCGAAAGGCGCGCTAATGATAGCGCGAGTAACAGGGGCGAGAGGTGTAACAGTAGTAATAACGGACGCGGATTATCCTCCCGAGCGACGCTCAGCGCTTCCCAAGCCGCGTCGCGCGTTATTGCCGGCATCGTCTACGTGTACACGCGTGACCCATTTAAGAAAGAAAAAAGAGAAGAAAAGAAACGAAACGAAAAAGAGAGCGACTCGTCGTTACGTGACGGCTTCCGTCGAGAGTATGTGTACGTAAGTACGTACGTATGTACGTAAGTGCGACGATGAGCCGGCGTATACTTATTAACGCGCATACTAACGATGCACGTACTCCAGTTGTTGTTTACCGGGCATGTACGGCGCGGTAGCGGCGATTACGACGCTGCCATCGCGGCGCGCGATTGCAACGCTGACAACAAAGAGCAGCGCAAGGTGCATAAGAAGCGCATTTCGCGGAGGTGAACCGCGCTGTGCGCACGGACATGTTTATGCGACCGATATTCAGAGGACAAAGAACAATTCTTACAGACTTACAGCGCAAATTGCATGTATCGTTCACCTTAGAAATAACTGCGCACTTGTGCCTTCAAACTTACAATGAAGGAATATTCAGGTTCAATCTGAGATATATGCACATTTATTCGGATTTAAATTTACGAATTCACATCTCAAGATTCATATCTCAGTTCCATTCTTATAAAGCTCGGAAATCTCGAAATTTGCCAATTTGCTCATGTGATTACTAATGCATAAAACGACAAGAAGAAGAGTAAGAGGGAGAAAAAAAAATAGTAGAGGAAATCGCGATACAAACGTCGGTAAAAGATGTGATGTAAAATTCTGAACGGACAAGAGCGGGCGAAATTATTGTTATTCGTCGATATTTCTCCTCCGTTCCTTCTTAAATCGAATTTTAAATTTTACTCTAATTACGCTCGTTCTTACCTCTTGCACTGAGAGCGATAAAGGTCTGCGCGTGCCTCCTGACCATGACGGTGTCCCAGGTACGGGGCATCGGCAATCTGCTGAGGATGTGCATGAGGAAGTCGCCGGGCGTCACCGCGGACAATTCCCATTTCAACTTAGAAACGACCAGCTGCTCCCACCTCTGCAACAATAAGTCGGGGCGCATGGCGCTCGTTTAACTTCGCGACAGATAGACTCTCGCTCTATGCGAGAGAGGAACGGGAGGTAAGGGGGGGGATAATATTCAATAGATGCTTCAAGGTCAATTCAAAGCGCCTCTTCTCCATCTGATCGACTGAATTTTCCACGTCGCTCGATAATTATGAGCACGATCGTAGTGCAAACGAAGATACATGTATAACGTGTATTGGGGATTTCAGATTTCATTTAATTTTTCGAAATTAAACACTTCACGAAGATCCGGGAAGAGAGAGAGAAAGATAGAGAGAGATCCATTGAGATTTTATCTATTTAGCGCGATATACACATTTGCACTTTTAAATAAACTCCGCAATTATATTCTAATAATCCCCGAGCTCGTACGTTTATTTTAAATAATACAATTTGTGCACAATGTGTATGCGTCTCAGCGATAGAAAGACGCGTCTCGTAAAATTCGTGGAGGAGTCATTAGACGCGCTTTAGATCCTTTTTAGATCCTTTTCATCGCGGATAAATGGCAAATGCGCGCCTCTTTAAACACGGAAACGCGGCTCTTAATTGCCCGTATTTGCGGGCAGGTGCGACAGCGAATCGTGCGCGCCACGTCAAAAATCAAGCAGCCTTGGCCTCTCTCACCGTTCCGAGTGTTGAACACGAGAAAACAGAGAGAGGGGGGAGGGGAGAGGGAAGGGAGAGGGAGGGGGAGAGAGACAGAGAGATCGAGAGAAAGAGAGAGATTAACCCTTTCTCTGACGAGGTTACTACGTCCGCTCTCTGGAGTACGTCGTAGTATCCCCGTTCTCTCTCGACCGTGAAATTACACGGCGGGAGTAGCGCGACGAGTACTACGTGTCCTTCGTCTTGATTAAAAGTCCATTGAATTCGGCGAGGCTACACTCTCTTCCCGTCGCTCAGCTGTGACGAAACGCGCTTCCACCGAGAGCGTAGTTCGAGGTGTCTTCATTGGACAGCAGAACGCGCGATTGTCCCTCCGTATTGCGCATTTATTTCTCCACACTGCACTTCGCATCACGCATCTTTGCACGACCACACGAAACTAATTGCGCGCCTTGTGAGGACGAGACTGCACTGACGTAACCAGAAGACGAAATAAAACGAGCAATCTGTTGCAATAAAATCGCAGAGAATACATAGAAACCGTGCAACAGGTGCGTGCGCGAACGCGTCTCGCGAACAAAATGGGAGGAAGACAGTCTATCCGTCATCGTAGTCATCGCGTAGTACAAGTCAAATTAAAGTCCTCGAATGGAAGAGGATGTGCGCTCGAGGGAAGACAAGCCGAGGGAATATCTCTTTCTTTTCCTCTCTCTCTCTCTCTCTCTCTCTCTCTCTCTCTGTCTTTCTTCTCCTCCATAGCTTATTCTCATCCTTGAAGGGGTTCCGCGCTCGAGTGCGTGCGTGCGTACGCTCGCCGCTCACGCTCGCTCTCGCTCTCGTACGCTCCTCTCGTACGAGCGTGAGGAAACCGGTGAATGAAACAAAGGCTCGTACACACCGAAGATTGCGAGCCGCAACGTGACGGTGGCGCCGTGTCGGTGTGCAAATCGCTACGTTCTACCGGCCGTAGAACGAGTCGCCGGTCGTATCGCGCTTACTTTCCAAGCACGATGCAGTTTATCTTGACGGTGACATAGGTCGATTAATTTTCACAACACGATTGTGTGCCGCCGTTCGCGCGAGAGTAAATCACGCGACGCTGCGTGCCTTTATCACGTCGTGCGACGTAATCCGGCGAAATTTCAGTGTGATACGATTATTCAAGCTGCTTGGCTCCTCTCCGTTCTTGCTCGCATTTGTATTTCTTTCGTCTTGCAAACGAGACAGAATCACGGTCGTTGCTATAACGCGCGATACTGCGCTGACGTACTGATTCGACGACGTAATTGTTGTCGATCTCCCGCGGGAGTTCGTGTTATTCAATTGTCCGTCCTCTACCACTTCAAATCATAATCATTACGGACCGTGAACGCACTGTGCAATTACAGTCGCCGACAATTATGGCTCTTCCTGCAACAGCTTGCTCCATTTAACGAAAAAAGAAATTTGTATAAAATCCTTGTACGAAATAAATGTACAATTCATGAGATATGAATTTTTCAAACGTATACGGCCGGTGTTGCGCCTCGGTGGATGTTACTGTAACACGTGAAATGCTCAACGACGACGCGCATCCCGTCGTCGCTCGTCACCGAGCGGTGTAATCTACGATGTAGCCGGCGCGTGCACGCTACGATGCTCGCGCGTACGTAACGACACGTAATGATTCATAAGAGGGGGAGGGGGACAATGATCTATCTCAGGGATAAAATTGAGCGCGATCTCGGCGACGATAAGCACGCGCGCACGCGGGCATTGATAATATAAGGCGGCGCCCCCTTCATGCGCTCACCCTCCGGGAATACACGGGGATTGTCCCGTTTCCACGTTTGCATTGTAAAGGATTCCATGTAGCGCAATTTACAATGATAAGTGAACGTGTAAATTGGTCGCGCACACGGGGTAACCTAATTGCCGTGGATTAAAATGGAAATTGCAACACGGTAGTCGCGGAATCACAAGCGTAAAAGAGTTACACCTTTACCCGCGATAAAAGAGCGCTCTTAGCGTCCTCGAGACGCACTGTTAGATCTGTAGTGTCAAATTATACTCAATTTGAGTTATTTTTAACCATTCGTATCATAAGTCGCCACTGCTCCTACTAAATATGTCGTTAATTTAACTAATGTAATGGAGTTAAATAATTTAACTTAAAAAAATGTATTAAATTTGACTAAAATTTAGTTTATTTTTTATTATGTGCACGTTAATGTAACCTTTGTTTTAGCAAAAAACACTTAAATTTGAAAACTACTATTTGATTACTTTAATTTGAAAATATAAAATTACTTAATATTGTTTTGATAATTGTTTTGAATAAAATGACTTAATATTGTTTTAAATGGGTTGATTAGATGTGGTTGTTTTTTTAAACACATGTTTTGTGTTAAAATAGTAAATTTTGACACACATGATAGTTAAAAATAACTAAATATTATTTAACTCAAGAAATTGGTTTAAATTTGACTCTCCAATATTTAACAGTGCGCGTCCCTTCCTCCCCGTCTATTCGAGAATCAGACGTAGGAACTCGATACGTTGTGCACTACGCAGATATGCGTGGTCTATCATAGGATATTTATTTCGAGGCGCCACGTGGCTACCATGGTGAGACGAAAAATCAAGAAAAAAACGGCAAAAATCGACAAAATGATATTAAAGAAACAAAAATTTGTACACTGAGACAAAAATTTATTTCACAGAAACAAATTTTATTTCTCAAAAATATATTTTATATCACGGAAATAAATTTTGTATCATACAAATAAATTTCCAAATGTCTTTTCTTCAGTTTGTACAAAGAAGAGAGAAGTGTTAATAACCAACGTGAATTGCTCCATGATGTCGCGGCCAGATTTGATCGCGGCGTTTAACGCGTCAAGCAACTCCCATCGTGGAACTCGACATTCACAATCTGCGAATTGATCTCACGACGGATCTCAGTTCTTGCCCTTAACCTTGGGACTTCCGGTATCGGCGCGCGCGCGTGTCGGAAATCGATACTCGAGCGACATTGGATCAAGAGGCATGGTGAAAAAGAGGGACGGTCGAGCAAGAAGGTGTCGAAGCATGCCGTGGGACACGGCGGAGCAGGTGCGAGTTATGCGCCTCTCGTTTTTTCCCCACGCAGCCCTCCGATGCACTTTCAATATAGAGAGTAACCAAGTGACCCCCGTGAAGCCCCGATATATTCTCAGGTCAGCGTGAAACCTCTGCACACAGGCCACCATTACGCACGTCCGTAATCATTTCCAACTTGACGTGCAATCCTTGTGTCGCGCACACATAACCGCAGATATTCCTCGTCCTTCTTCCTCTGCGGCTCGCGAGCAGCGCAATCGTTTATCGATCCTCGTAAATCGCGCGCAAAATATTGCTCAAGAAGTCGAGAACTGAATAATGTATCGGAGAATGAACTCTATTAACGCTCGCGCGTACTCTCGCATGCGCGTGAGACTCGGAATTCGCGCGAAAATGTGAGTGCACGCACGCACGTATGCACGCATGCATAGAGCACGCGCAATTTAATCGCTCGCGTATGCGATAAAGGTCGATTCATATTATACGACGACGCTGTGCGCACCGGCAACGACGAGGCAGAATATTATGCAGCGAGGAATAATGAAGCCGGCCGTTTATCACGTCCGAGATACAGCGACAGTCGGAATAAAAAAAGGCGAACGAGGCCAGACGCCGTGGCGGAGAGCGAAAGGGCTGCGAATCACGAACGATGAGCTTACAACTCATTACTGAAAACTCGTTATTAACGTTTCATTCTGCGAAATACGCGCGATCCTTAGATTCGCTTACTACACGGGGAGAATTTTAATTATTTTCGGTATTCTCCCTCTGTTATAATATATATTGTAGTAATTAAAAATTACTGCGGGATCTTATAATCGAAAAATGAGTTGAAATTGCAGTAATTAACTATCCTCTCATTGCACGTATGCTATTTATCTTTTAGGAACTGGGATTTATTAAAAAATTTGCCATGTTCTGAAATTTATTATATTCCTTGGCAAGATAGGTTTTATTAGCAGCCTACTGCTATATTACTACTACGCGAAAAAAAAATTTAACTGCCGTAGCTAATCATTGTATACTGAAAATATATTTGTTGCTGTAACTAAAAATTTGCTGCTGTAACTAAGCTTTTTTATCGTTGCTACTGGTCTCATAGCTAAATATATGCCTATTAGCAGCTATACTTTTAGATATCCATATGGATTATAACAACATTTAAATACAATACACAGATGTTTGTTGGTAACTTTTTGTGCCGTGTAGAAGCATAGAAAAATTTATATAAAAAAGAAAATCAAAATATTCTCTCCGTGTAGATATCGCGTTTGTTAGAGA